TAGCTCCCCTCTCCCACCCCAGGCAGCATTATTCCCAGGGGCTCTGCCCTTGCCCACCTCCCAAGGGCAAACCATCTACTTAGGACCCTGGCCCCTCTCCCTCTGGCCCCAGCACCTTAATGGTGAAGGCCACTTGCAGGGGTCCTCTTCGGCCCACTACCCACACCGTCTTCACCTGGCTCTGCCTCAGCACCCCCAGGGCAGCCTCCGTGATGTCTGTTTTCTGGCACACAAAAAAGGACCTTAAAGTTATCCAACAATGAGCCTCTCCATTTGGTCATGTCCCTACCCTGAGGGAGCCTGAGAAGGTTGGCAGCCCGAAAGTGCACCACTGCCCCCCTCTGGTGGCCATATGGCGCACTGCCGCCAATTCTGCAAATGGCTCCAACTAGCAGCAAACCAGGACCACGCTCTTTCACTCAACAAGTGTTTACCAGGTGCAGGGTGCCATGTAAGGGGCAGGGGGAGACAGCGGGTGTTAATGGTGCGCAAAAGAGACATGGCCCTCACAGAGCTTCTGATCTGGTGGAGAGAGAGATACTTATCAAATACTCATTGATAAATATAAAATTACAGTGGTGACAACGTGCCTTGAAACAGAAGTAGACAAAGTCTATGAGAGGAAGACATAAGGCTTCCTAAAGGAGGCAACAATCGAGCCAAGAACTAAAAGACTAACTGGCAAGAGGTGAGTTGAGAGTGTTCCAAGCAGGGAGTGGTATGTGCAAAGGTCCTGTAGCACACGGAATAGTGCTGTGTTTTACAGGCCACATAGCTGGAGTCAGAAAGTGAAAGGGAAAAGTGATGAGGCTCATGGGCTGCCTTTCAGAAGGCTTCTGCCTGACACCATGGGGAAATGGAGCTCAGCTTGAAGGGATGGGGCCTGAACCCTGGAGCAGGGGCAGCCTCCCCTCAGTGTGACTTCATCTCCACCCCTCCAGCCCCTGACCTACCCACTCACCTCCAGGTGCTCAGGTGGGGTTAGCAGGATCCGGGCCACATCCAGAGCCACGTTCCCCTGCCCCAGAATCACGGCTGTGTCGCAGCTCAGGTCCGGTAGCAGCTGGAGGAGAGAGGTCTGGAGAGGGTTCCTCTAGCCTTGGCCCATAGCCCTCGGCCTCCCCCACACTCGGGACGTCCACCCCACCTGAGCCTCAACTCTGATTCCCCTCCCTCCACCCGGCCCCACCTCTTCCCAGAGGCCTTCCATGGTTGACCTCCCACCTCAGGCAGCCTGATGTCTCCCATCTCATCTCACTGGGGGCCTCCCCGTCCTGGATGGTGGCTCCTTCTCCCAGCCCTGGCTGAGGGGTGAGGAGGAAGAGGCAGTGGGAGTGCTCCCAAAACTCACCTCCCGGTTCTCAGGAAGCCCATTGTACCAGCCCACAAAGGCCCGGGCTGAGAACACACCGGGTAGCTCCTCACCAGGAATTCCCAGAGCCTGATGATCCTCTGCCCCGTAACTCTGAGGAAAGACCCAGAGCCCTCAGCACCAGCTAAGGGGCCAGGCAGCCCCCACGGGGCTCCCAGGGGCCTCCCTCCAGCTCCAACTCCGTAGCTTCCACTCTGGCCATGCCCAGTGGTTTGCGCCTCACCCCCATGCCTTCCATCCTCCAGCCACCACCTCCTGCTGCTGCCCTGCCCCAATCCTCTTCATCCCCGGCCCGGCCACCTGTCTGCACTCACCAGCACCACAGCGTGGTAGGCCTCCCGCAGCTCTGGCACGGTCACGTCCCTGCCCACGACCACGTTGCCATGGAAGGCACAGCGGTCAGAGCGGGCCGTCTGAGTAAAGGTGTTGATGACATTCTGCTGGGCCCCGGAGTGGGAGGGGTTAGAGGATGGGGCAGCTCCAGGGACCATGCTATGCCACTCTCACCCCACAATGTCCCCAGGATGGAACCTGGGTGGCGTCCAGAGGTTCTGGGGTCATTCCATGCAGCCAGGGAACCTCTCTTCCCTCCTTACCTTGACCAAAGTCTCCAAACCTCCCCTCCATGCCCAGAGACACCCACCTTCACCTCGGGATGGTCGGGTGCCACGCCAAAGCGCACCAGGCCAAAGGGCACACACTGCTTCTCATAGATGTCCACGTGGGCCCGGGTGTGATGCTGGGGAAGAAGGTGGCAGGCGTTGGGGCTGAGGGAGGGGCTGGGCCCCTACAGGTCCCCCACTTCCCGCACAGAGCAGGAGAGCCCAGCTCAGGGGGCTGAGGAGGCCTCGGCCCTTTGCTAGGAGAAAGAGCCCCCCCACACTCCCCATCTGCTTAGAGAGTCAGATGAGAAGAATGGGGCAGCTGAGGTCAGACCTCGAAGACTGCCAACCCATTGAAAACTCCGCCAACAGGAAGACGTATCAGGACAGCTTCTTTATCTGCTTGGGTTGGGTGTGCCACACAGCCTTGCCCTAGAGCCCCTCGACACTTCTAGAAATGCCCAGCCAGGCTGGTGACCTGAGAACCACCCTAGTCTCTAAGATCATCCTATTAGAAAGGGGACCAAGCCGGAAAGGGAGTTGGGGGCACAGCTGGGGCATGGGAGGGGCAAAGGGAGGTGGAAATGGCCCAACTTAGTCTTAGAAAAAACAATCTCACTCATACATTGGTTCCACATTGCCTGCCCTCTGGGGCACCTGGAGGGGCCATGGAGAAAGCACGGGGTTGGGCTCAGGCACCAACCAGCCACATGACTGGCAAGTCCTGGGATCTGCCTCTTTCTCTGTAAACTAGGACAGATGACACCCCTGTCCCTGGGTTGTTGGGAAGCATCCTGAAAGTCAGGACAGTGAGAGACTCTGGGCCACAAGCAGGTTCAGAGTCAAGCAGTTGGGGCTCCTACGGATGACACCGCCCTGCCTCGCACCCCATCTCGGCTCTTGCTCTAATAATACTCCCACGTCAGTGGGACTCAGGCCAAATGAGCTCCTGCCCTCCATTCGCCCTCACTCCGACAAAGCCTCGTGCTCCCCTCCTCACCTTTGTCCAAATCCCCTTTGCCCTCCACTCCACTGCCTGCACCCAAGTCCAGGCCCTCCACCACCCACCCGCCCCAGCCACAGATGGCACCCAACCCACCTCCTCCAAACCCCACTGATGTGGTACCCAGGATGAGCTCCGGCTTTGGGGTCCACAGCCACGGGGACCCCACCACTCTCTGGCTCTGTGCCACAGGAATGTTTCTTAACTTCTCTGTACAATAGAATATCCCTTCTGACATGATGTTCAAGAGTAAATGAGCAAGGCCTGAGCACTTAGCCCAGGGCTCGACCCACGTGAGTGTGCAGTCAACGAAAGCTACCATTACTATTACTGGTATTGTCGCATAACCTTCCAGGCTGCCCACTGCCTCAGGACAAAGTTCAAACTGCTCAGCCTGGTGGACAATACCTTACACAATCCGACTTTATCTTACATTCTTTCCTGCTGTGGATCTTTCCCTCTAGGTCACACTGCTCTCTCCAAGGCCATCTCCCAGAAAGCTAAATCCACTGGACATGCTTATTGGTTATCTGGCACGGGCTGACCTCATCTTCCACAAAACCCTCTCCTTCCTAACCCTTGCAGCTCCCTCTTAACCCTCCAGCTGTTCTTTCTTGGACCCCTCTTCCCCTGCTCTCCATAATTCCCATGTCAGGTCTTTGAGCGTGGGGACCATGCCTGTCCAGCTCACACCCATGTTCCCAGGGCAGGGCCTATACCTGTAACATGTCGGTGTCTAGTAATTGATTATAGAATGCGCTACCATGGTGCTTAAGAGTGGGCTCTGCCATCAAGCTGCCTGTGCTCAGGTCCTGGCACCTTTCCTGTCCAGGTGGGACCTTGGGCAACCTCGCTCAGCCTCAGTGTCTTCACCTGTGAAGCGAGAGTCATGACACACGCTTCGCAGGTTGTCTAGAGGGTGTGATGACATGTGGTACAGACAGTGCCTGACTCAGCTAAGTGCCACTGCCCCAGAAGTCCATGCATGTATCTTTGAGCTCCCAGTGGGCAAAGACCAGCTCTTAACTGGCCTCAGTGTCCATCTCCCAGCACCTCCCGCAGGGAAAGCACATGTACGTGTCAGCTGGCTGAGTGTAAGCCGGGGCTTTTGCTCACATCAGAGGCGCTGAGAATCCTGTCTGGAAGGCCCGCTCTCCCCCTTCCCTAAAATTCAGGCTCAGCCAACAGTGTCCCTTACACAAAACCCGCCAGGACTTCACCAGCCCCCGTGAGATCCCTGGGCTCTGGGACAGAGACCAGGGTAGTCCTACAACTGAGGAGCTTGCCTGGGGATGACTCCCCACATGTGGGAGGCCCGCTCCAGAGCCCGTGGCCTCCTTCAGTGCAGATCCAATGTGCCTTCTACAGGAAATACCTTTATCCCCACCTAACTCAGCTCATGCTGGTCACATCGTCGTAATTACCTCTTTCTCCTGTATTGCTTGGAAGGCGTGCTCAGGTCCCTTTCCAGCTGGGGGACAAGTCATCTCAGTCTCCCCAAGACCCTCCCAGTTTTAACACTGAAAGCCCCATGTCCTGGGCAAACTGGGGTGGTTGATCACCCTCTGTTAAGTATCTGCATATGTGTTTGTATACTTAATATAGTCATCATTTCTCCTGTCTCTTCATGGACACTCCAAATTCCTACAAAGTGAGGCCACTGTACAATGTCTTGGTAAGCCTAGGTCTCCCTTCCCTCCTCCCCCACATGATTCTTCCTCCCTCCTCCCTTCCACCAAGGTCCAAGGTCTGGCAAAGTCTCAAGGATACTTAATGACCTTGGGGCCCTGCCCACCAAGGCCAATACTGTAAGCCTTGAGACCCTGGCCTTCGGGGGGAGGCAATGGGGGTGGAGAGCAGGCTGAAAGAACAGCATAGCATGGGGAAGGCTGGAGCTATTGGTGAGGAGAGCACGGTGAGGTGGCTAAAGCTACAGAAAACCCTAAGAAGAGCAGGTAGAGCCTCAAGACGTAGGATGTTGGGAACAGAGTGCAGACAGTGGAAAAAGAAGGGAAGATGAGGAGCAGTATAGTCATCTTACAGGTCTGCATAAGCTCCCTAAAGGGCTCGGCCAAGGAGGCATAGCCAACCATCGCCCATCAGGTAGACACACTTCTCTCATAGCTGAGGACCTACAGTGGGGAGCCCCAGATGCAAGTGATAAAACGTGTAGTAAGTGATCTGTCTAGATGGGCTGGGAGCCCCTTCTCCATCAGGGATCCAGGAGTGCTTTTAAAACCCCAAAGAATGGGGCCTGCGCTTAGGACTGGAGCAGCAGGTGAGTCGTGGGTGAGGGAACCAGAAGGGCATGGCTTACCTTTAGCAGGTGTTGGGCAGTGTAGAAGCCAGCTGGGCCACTTCCCACCACACAGATCTGGGTGGTCTGCTCCTGCGTGGAGAACTGCTGACAGGAACCTAGGATGGGAGGCGGGGAGGTCAGAACAACACTCCCTCCCCAAACCCAAACCAATTTCAGTGTCAAACAGGAGATGAAGCTTCCCAAGTTTCACCCTCATTTTCATCAAAGCTTTGGTGTTTGCAGGGTTCTTATTTCATCTGAACCCCAAAGGCTGTCTTCATTCAGAACCCCACATCTCACACACGCGCTTTCTGTTACTGAAGATGGCCTACTCAGCAACCCCCACCACCCATCTCTGAAGTTGCCCTGAACAGTACTCCATTTTCTTTATGGGGTTTCCTACCCACCCAGCTAGAATACCACATCCCACCAACGGACCCCATGTCATCCCAATCTCACCCCTGTGGAGCTCCCCGTAATGCTTCCATTTTACCTCTCTAACCCCTCTCTCCACAGAACCCCACATTGCCCCCAATACACCCCTGCCTCATTCCTATGATCCCCTGTTTCGTCTCAGACTTCTCTCTTGTCCCCCAGACTTCCATATCACCCTCATTCACCCCTTCTCACATGTGTGGACATCATGGTCTCACCCTAGGGCATCTCACCCCACATCTGCCCCCAGTACGCCACCCCCATCTCGTCCGCATGAGTGGACCCTTCCAGTCTCGCCCCGGTCCCCTCTCTTGTCCCTGTCCAGCTCTGCCCCAGCTTGGCTCCGACCCTTCCCCTTAGAACTCGTAGGCCTCCCCGCGCTCCCATCCAGCCCCAGGGGTGCCCTGCTCCTACTCTGGGTGCTCCCGACGGGAGGCGGCCGGGTCCGAGGCCACGCCGACCAGTGCCACCAGCGCCAGCAGCGCGGAGCCATGGCCGGGAGAAGGAACCAGCCAGGGGAACTGCACTCGGTGACTGCCCCGCGCTCCGCGTTGGGCCGGCTCCGGCCCCGCCCCTCCCTGACCCCGCCCACAGGCGCAGCTCCGCCCTTAGTCCCGCCTCCTACGCTCTAGGAAAGCACAGCGGGGCGGCTCCACCACCATCCCCTAAAGAATCCCGCCCCCAAAAGAGAAGCCCGCCCTCGGATCCACCCATTTCTGCTGAAGGTCCGTCCCCCAGGGTTTCTGGTCCCCACGTGACTTAATAAATTTCTCCGGTCTTCACTCTCCCTCCAATTATCTGGAGTCTAGAGTTAAAAGAGAGCTAATCCTCATCGCTGTTTCAATATCGCCTCAAGAAGGGAACCAATTAGAGAGGAGTTTTCTCGGAGGCTCTCGTCGCTGACTGATGACGCATCCGCCTGTCCCTTCTGAAAGCGCGCGCCTCTGGTTTCTTGCTAGCCAATCACCAGTCCGGTTTAAGTAAGCCCATTGGGTAATAGCCAGGGATCCGGAAGTTCTGGGAGCGATTGGAAAAAGGGGCTCCCAGCTTGTAGTTTGGCGCCCCTACCAGGGTGCTATACAGGTGTGACCCTCTGGTGGTGCGGTTCAGGTTGGGCCAGGGAGAATTTTAAACCTTTGGGATGTCGAGGTAAGAAATGTCTAAACCTGTAGAGAATTTTTAGAAAACTTTATTTGAGCCAAAACTGACTACGATTGCTGAGAAGCAAAATCAAAAATGCTCCCAAGAATAAGTTTTGTAGTTTCTTTTATGCATTTGAAATTAAGGAGGGAAGGTAAGGAAGATTACATGAAAGTGGAAAAAAGCCAGGTGGGGATCACATAACAGGATAGTTAGGGTTATATGCTCTCCTGAGGGTGATTACAGCTTCGAAAGGTATTCTGACATTTCAAAGGTCTGTTAACCTAGATGCACAAGAACAATGGGCAGGACTGGCTTAAAACCTTTCACTAAAGAAGTTACAGGCCTGGGCGGTGATCACCCACAATGACCAGGCCATTTAGGAATTTATGATCAGGTCGTCCTGTGAGGTTACTTTTTATAGAGCCCCCTCTTTTGTCCACAGAGATCTTGTCCCACCTCACCCCACCTCCCCTTTACCTAATGCGGAAACAGAGGCGGAGTGACTTGCCCCAGGTGCTAAAGACAGAGCCAGATCTTGACCCTCGTCCATCAGGGCTGGAATAATGTAAGGCAGTGAGGCACTAGCCTTGGGTGCAGAATTTAAGGAGGCACCGAAAACCTCAGTAATCAAGATAAATAATACTATTTTAATGCAACATTTTAAAAGATCAAAATTAATGCAAAAAATCCATGATGAACAAAATAGACCTTTAAATGACAGGATCTGTGGTCACATCTGACCCAATAAGCCGAATGTCAGCTTCAGCTTCTTTTCCTCCCAAGGGCCCCCTTGTCAAACACTTCCTCAGAGAAGCCTTCCCTGACCCATCCTTCCCCAAGCTGAGTTAGGGCCCCTTCTTGTCGCCTACCACTCTACCCCATTATTACTTATTACACTGCCTTATCATTTTTTAATTATCTTTTTTTATTGAAATAACAAATACAAAAGTGCACACATCGGAAGTGTACTGTTTGATGAATTATCCAAAGATGTAATCCTGTAACCATGACGCAGATCAAGAAGTAGAACATGGCCAGCACCCCAGGAACCCCTTGTGCCCCTTCTGGTCACTTCCCCTCCCTGCTACTGCTCTGATTTCTAATAAGTCGTTCTGTTTTGTGCCTGTCTCGCAGGACCAGGAGTAGCTAAACTGTAGCTTGCAGGCCAAATCCTACCCAACACCTGTTGTTGTACTGCCCACAAGCTAATGGATTTTACATTCTTAAATGGTTTTTAAAAATGTAAAGAATAAGGTTTTGTGACGTGAAAAATTACACAAAGTCCAAAAAATTTTATTGGAACACAGTCATGCTCATTCTTTACATATGTTGTTTCATACTTTGATGGCACAAAATGCTTGGAATGTTTGTGACAGAGAGCATACTGTCTGCAAAGCCCAAAATAGTTACTGTCTTTACAGAAAATTTTGCCAACTCCTACACTAGACTAGAAGCTCCAGGAGGTTGGGGTCCAGTCTCATTCAGTCTTATGTCCCCAGAGCTTCGCACAGTGCCTGGTACATAATGGATGTTCATAGTTTGTTTTGTTTTTTTAAAGATTTTATTGGGGAATTGGGGGAGAGGAACAGCATTGGGGAATTGGGGGAGGGGAACAGACAAGTTGCTGTCCTTTTGTTCTTCAGTCTAGTTGTAGAGGACGTCGCTTCACTGGCTCATGTTGGTATTATCATTGCGCTCTTCCCAGGTGAGGCAGTCACTTGCTGGCCATTGGACAGCTGCTCACGGCGGCTCACAGCAGCTCACGAAAGCTCACGCCCACTGCCGGCCAGCCCCACTGCAGCCTACGCCATCGCCGGCCACTCATGGTAGCTCACGGCAGCCTATTGCAGCCCCAGTGCAGCCTACGCCATCACTGGCGACTCACGGCAGCCCAACTCCAGGTCGGACTATTGTTCACCATCTTAGCTGTAGAGGGTGCAGCGTCTCTGGCCCTCGTGTGGGATCCAGCCGGGGCCCTGCTGCTCAGAGCTGGCGTCCCAAGCCAGCTCTTAACCAATGCGCCACTCCGCTGGCCCTCATAATTTGAATGATCACATCGTTTATTATCCTTTCACATGGGCAGAAGAAAAGGAGATTCTGGATGAGATACCTCTGAAAGCCCTATAGGGCTCCCCTCCCGGAGGCACTATGTTTGGTGGTTAAGAACAGGGACACTGGAGTCGGACACACTGGGTTCGAACCCTTCTTCTGCCATTTACTAGCTATATGACATTGAGAAATTTAATCTCTCCAAGACTTATTTTCACAATATGTAATGTGAGGAGAAAATAGTACTAACTTCTGGTAAAAATTAAAATTAGATGGCATAGTAAAAATGTGCCGTAAGTTCTGAATAGATATTCGCTATCATCATCATCATTCTGAAGATGTTAGCTATCATCATCAATATTACCACCTCTGATACATCTTTGTAAATTAGACCTTAGGTCACCGCAGAGTCCTAGAAGGGCTTCATTCACTCTGTCCCCTCCCCTCCCCTCCCCTCCCCAGCCCCATGTGTTCCCAGCCCACATCCTCAGAGTAACAAAAAATCAAGCCTCAAAGTAATCGAGTGACTTTTTCCCAGGTGCCTGTGGTACAGCCAAGTCTGGTACCAGGGCCTCCCACTGCTGCTCCACTCAGGCCCAGATCAATAACAATGAGTCATTGGTTATGTATTAGGAAGGTTTTAATCATTAGCCAGGACTGTGCAATGGAGCCTTTTCTGACATTTCATTTTTCATATGGAGAATTAGCAGTTGGATGCATCGCACTCCCAGACCTTCAGGCCATCTCTGAGCTACTAGCGCATTTCAAAAGAGCAGCAGTAAGGCATAGCAAAGCAGTAGGCTGGGGAGGCTGCCAAGCCAGCCTCCTTCCAAGAAGGCTGCATGGATCCAAAACTGCTCTATCAGTCAGCCTCCCAGCAGGAAACAGATGGTGTGTTCAAAAGGTCTGATTGCAGAGAGTTTAATGAAGGAACTTTGTACAGAGGTGTGAGGAGGATTAAGGGAACCTTGAAGCACCCTGGGCTAGCAACAGCTGGAAGTTACTACCACTCTAGTCCCTGAAGGAGCTGTTTCGGAAGGAGTGACCATGGTAGCTGCAGGAGAGGGTGCCTGCCAGAAGGGTGACCTTCGGTAGAGAAAGGCAGGGTAGGGGGGAGTGGGGAAAGGATCTGGAGAGGCCGATGGCAGCTACCCAGCAGAGCCACCTAAGGCCTCACTAGGGATGGGTTCTCCAACAGGACCAGGCTTAGAGAATGCCCTCACCTGCCATTGGACCCATCAGCCCATCCTATTTGCTGACATTCCGCTTCCCACCACCAGGGGCAGCATGCCCTTCGCCCCGTCCAAGGACTTCACTGAAAAACACGGCAGTTAAGGACCCAGAACATGACTTGCATATTCTTAACCAGGGATGATTTTGCCCCCCAGGGGACATGTGTCCGTGTCTTCAGCCATTTTTGATTGTCACAACTTGGGCTCCTGGCACCTAGTGGGAAGCTAGGGATGCTGCTAAACATCCTACAATGCACAGGACAGGCTCCAACAGGAAAGAATGATCCGGCTAAAATGTCATAATGCCGAGGTGAGAAACCCTGTTTTAAACGAACTGCTCTGGCCTTCTTCTCTGTCCTTCCAGCTGGGCCCTTACTGTACCCCCTTATCCAGCCCCCAGCCAGGGCAGCTCCCAGCCCTCTCCCAAGTCTGCTTACTTTTGGCTGACTCTCAGTGGTGTCCCCCAGCAGCTTGACATCTTCCTCTGGCTCGCATCAATAGTTCCTTTACATTCCTGCCTCCCTCCCAGGCTGCAGACGATGCTCGCCCAGCCCAGCCCAGCCCTTGACTTCCAACTCTTGTATCTGCACCTCACACCCCTTCTCCTTCCTTTCCTCTCTAAGTCCATCTGTCCTCCAGACCCTGTGCCCATCACCCCCTCTAGCCTCAGCTATCCTCCCAGTAATTTTTCTCTCCCTTAATTGATAATTCTTCCAGGTCCACTCCTTCTAAATATCATGGAACAAAGCAGGTTTTTTTCTAGAGCTAGCCAAGGTCATGCTCAAAGCTATTTATACTCTTACTTCCAGAACCTGGAGTGCTCTCCTCACAAAACGCTTACGCTTAGATCTCACTGATGCTGTGGCTCTTGGGAGCTGCTGAGCCAGGCTGAGTGTCTTGCACAGGCTTCTCTGGCTGGGAAACTAGGAAGGTCTGCCAAAGGTAGCCTTCCCCTTGTGGTCCCTGGGGAGAGAGTTCCTTAGGGGACAGGGCCTCCGAGGGCACCGGAAGAAACAGTAACCAACTAAGTGTACGGCTCTCCTGGCATTCGGGAGGCCCTCGCCAAGGGCTGACCCTGCTCTCTCCGCGCCCCCTCCTAGCCTGGCCCCTGCACAGGGCCTGCCCTCATTGTCACCCTCCTTTAGCCCTCCCAAGGCTCAGGCATGGCAGGGGAGGAATCCAGCTGTTCAGTCCTGAGATGAAGTTGGCCAGACTGCCCCGAATGTCCAGCCACCTTTATTCTTTTCCTGCAGAGAGCCCTCGCAACCCAGAAAAGCAAGCAGGGCAGGTGACCCCCAGGGCCCCCAGCAGGAGATCCCTGCCTCACTGCCCACCCAGTGCCCCCACGCTTCAGGTCCACCACCCGCAGCCCAGCCACACCCACTGGGGAAGGGCCTGCACCTTCCCAGCCCCGGGGATGGCAAGTGGGAGCAGGACAGCCAGGGTTGGGCCTGGGAAGGGGAGCAGGGTGCCTGTGCTGAGCCGGCCTTCATTGCAGCCCCACCAGCTCGGTGATCGGAGGGGCCCGCACCATGAACTCCTCATACTGACTGAGGAACAGCCGGAAGCGAGCCAGGTAGGTGTCCTCGTTGTAAGGCAGCTGCTTCTCATGGAGGAACTGGGACACCACAGGCTTCACCTGCCAGAAGACGGGCTGCTGAGCCAGGACTGGGGGCCCCTCGTCTTCCCAGCCCCAGCTCCTGTCTGCCTTGTCCCGTGGTGTTATGCAGGAGCCGGTGGGGGGGGGGGCTTGGAGAATTCCTGCCTCTCTCCCTCCCAGCAGGCAAGGGGGGCGGGCTTCTCCTCAACCCCCCTCCCCCCCAGGGCTTCCAACTGCATGACAGTCCTCCTTGCCATGATGGATGAAAACCATAGTTCCTTCTACCAAGCACCCGCTGCGTGCCCAGCATTTCAGATCCATTTCTTCATTTCAGCCTCTAAGCCTGTCAGTGTGAGCGCTGACAGACGAGGAAGCCGAGGCTCGCAGACGGTCACTTAACGTGTCCAGAGTCACGCTGCTAGTAAGAGACCCACACGTCTCTGATCGGAAACCCACACCGCTGCCTGTACACTGGGCTGCCTTTCCTGACGCCCTCTGACTTGGGGGACTCGGGGTTCAGGTGAAACCTGAAGGTTACTCACCCTCTGCCCTCAGGTGGTCCCTTCCTCCCAGCCCCTCCAGCCCGACCCTCCTCTACCTTCAGGCACATGTTGTCAGAGAGCCTGGGGAAGAAGTGGTGCTCCACGTGGCAGCTGATGATGGAGTGGCCGAACGCCCAGTCCAGCACGGGCAGCCGGGGCAGGTTAAGCACGCCCAGGCTCATCATGTGAATCCGTCGGGGCTTCTTGTCCCGGGAGAACATGGGGAGCCCGATGTGCTGTGACGGACACGTGGGTCACCACCTGGGCCTCCCCACCCTGCCCCAGGAGTCCTCACCTAGCACTCAGGGACCAGTGGGTTCTTCTGCCCCCTTACTCCCACTCCAGCAGGACCTGGTAGAGGCTTGAAGGGCTGGGTTCACCTGTCTGGCCCTGAGCTTAGTCTCGTCATCTCTGGGCCTCTCTCCCCATCTGTACAATGAGGGGCTTGGCCTGGGCACCCCTCGGATCCCCTGGTACTCTAAAGCTTGCAACTGTTTACCACTTGCTCTCATGTCATTACGTCTTTGCTTCTCCCTGGAGAGCCCCTTCTCTGCTCTGTTTTCACCCATCAAAATCTTGCTCATCGTTCAAGATCAAGTTTGTGCATCTGCATGTATATTTTCATTCAACAGGTTTGTATACATGCCCCTCCACCAGGCACCGTCCTAGGTCCAGGGGATGCCAAGTGCACGGGAGCTTCCATTCTAGCAGGACAGGCAGCTGGGACACACTAGGGGACTAAGTCACTCATGGCAGTTGTGCTAAGTGCTGGGATGGTGATGTGCAGGGTGCTCTAACCCCGGGTCTTCACTGGTCCAAGGAGCAAGGAGGCGTTCGTCCCTACAGAAATGGCCGAGGACAGTGTGCTGAGCCCTGGCCTCCCAGGAAGACCTCCGTCTGCAGCTCCTCCATCTGCCTGCCTCGTGGCCTGTGCTGGGGCCTCTGTGACGGACCTCTTTCCACTTCACATGGGGTTATCACAGCGCCCTGAGGGCAGGAGCTGGGGGCCCTTCACTTGAGTCACCACAGGGCTTAATCAGGAGCCCAACACATAGTAGGTTCTTAACCCATCTTCGCTCCATGCGTGAATGGCAGCCAGCGTTGAAGGGAGACCCGAACTCCCTGTGATGACCCACAGGGAGGAGTAGCGGGCTGGGTGGGAGGTGGGGAGATGCTTCCTCAGGCGGAGAATGCTCCCCACGGCCCGCCAGCGCCCAGGGTGGGGGGAGCCCTCACCTGGAAGATGTTGACATGGAGGAAAGGGTGGGCCAGCAGGGATCTGGTGATGAGCATGCAGACCAGGGCTGAGCTGGGGCTCTTGAAGCCAGACACGTTCAAGAGCAGCCAGTAGTGAGAATAAAGGCCCAGGGAAATCAGGCCCAGCGTCCGCAGAGCCGTCCTACGCTCCACGTTACTCAGCCGCTCTGCCAGAAGGGGCAAGAAATACAGGGACAGGGTGGGCAAGGTTCTGATCCAACGTAAGCTGGCTCCTCGGCGGCTCAGTGGTGCTAACTAGGGTGACCTAAGTGTGTTCACCCACATGCCGCCCTGAAAAGTAGGTGCACCCATTTTATGGAGAGGAAATGGAGCACTAAGCAACCGGAACAAGGTCATTCTGATAGTAAGCAGCGGCCTGGGGCTCGAACCCAGGACTGGCGGCACCCCCAGCCCCTGCTCCTTCCACCACGATAGTGCTCCCATGATATTAAAAATTATCACATGTAATATAGCGCGAGGCATTTACAAAGCATTTTTATATCTATGACCTTATTATGTTTTCACACACTCTTGAGGAGCAGATAAGAACCTGAGGCTCAGAGATGTTAAGTTACCTGCCTGAGGTCACCAGCCAGTAAGTGGCAGCACCAGATTTGGCCCTGGGTCCGAGGCTCTTCCCACCCTGCCTGGCTGTCTCAGAAAGTTCCTGTCCCGTCTTAACTCAGGGCTCCTCACCTCCTCCACAGGCAGCTTCCATCAATCAAGGAGGGAAGGAAGGAAAGGGAAGACCAGGTCTTTGCAAGGCACTCTGGACCCCGGCCCTGGCATACTCACCAACAGCCACCAGTGGGGTTATTATAGGGATCAAGAGAGGCGCAAGGAACATGTAGACGTAGCGGTTGAGGCTAGGCAGCCGCCACGTGCTCGAGTCCCCCAGGCCCAGCACGTTGGTGTAGCCATGGTGTATCTTGACGTGTCCATACTTGGCGTACTCTGCAGGGAAGGCCGTGCATACCTAGAGGAGGGAGCCAGAAAGGGCACTGGGTCCATGTTAGGCAGGACCTTTCGGAACCTCAAGAACACCCCACCATCCCCGGACGCTGCATTTCCAGAGCCCTCCTGCCTTACACCCCCAGCTAATCAGCCTTGACCATCAACTCTCAGATATCTGTGACCACAGAGTGGCAACCAGTCAAAACAAGTGTGTCCACTTGGCGTGGCATGTTAGTGGGCGTGAGGCCAGCGCCCCAGATTGCCACTCTGCCACTGACCACCCAGGCAGGCCTGCAAGCCTGAGAGGACTGGACGCACTGCTAGTCAGGTTCCTGGCATCGCATTGCAATTATTTTGTGCGTGTTTATCTTGGAAACATCTGTACCTTCGAACCCTACTTTTCATGCTGAGCCCACAGCAGTGAGGGGAGGAGTGCAGGAGTGGTATGGAAGCCAAAGGGGGGTCATCTCCGGAACTGTCCACGAGGGTGGCACCTGGAGTGAGGGCGCCCTGGTAGGGGCTGAGAGCTAACTTCTCCCTGGGGTGGCTCCTCTGGCACACGTGGGATTCTCCTAAGCTGGTCGCCAAGAAGGCCCATTTTGAAGGCAAAAGAGACACTGTGGTGTTTCTCATGCAGATACATGCAAATGAACATGCAGATGCCAGCCTCTTCCAACGTTTCGCCCTGGCCAGAAGACTTTGCCAATTTTATTGAAGATGCTGCCTGCCAGTTTCCAGGAGAACCTGAAGAGTTTCTCAGTGCCAATCACTGTGAGCCTGGTAGACAGCAAAACAGTTTGATGAGTACTCAGCATTCTGTCCTTCACGTGTGTGACTTGTTAATCTTCTAAGCCCAGGGGACAGCGGTGTTATTCAGTTGACAGAAACTGAGATTAAAAAGAAGCCACATGACCACCCCAGGTCACTCAGCTAGGTAGGTAGCAGAGGCGGAATTTGAACCCAGCTCCATCCAAGATAATCCATAAGGCCCCTGGGATGAGCCACTTACTGCATCCAAGCAGGTTTTGCTCTCTGTTTCTGTAACCTTGCAGGACAGAAGCTGCAGAGGGTGGGTAGGTAACATATCAATTAAAGTGACATCTCTTCCAGGCCTGCTGGTCTCAGAGGACCTGCCTGCTCAAGAGCGTGCACCCATTGGGATCCCTTGGTCGGTTCAAGTTAGTGGCAGAAGCCCTTTGGCAGCAGGCATGGGGGCCACAGTAGAGCCCGTTGGGATGTCCTGAGGCCAGCCTGCCTCTGCCCAAGGCCTGCAAGTGTGTGTTTTGAACCTCAACAGTTCTGTCCCATGTGCCGAAGAAGTGACTGTTCTCAGCTGCTTCTTCCATGCACTTCTGCTCCAAAGTCCAATCCTGTCTGCACTGCTGCTTTCATGAAGAAATGTCAGCTGAATGCAGCAGCCTGCTTAGTGACCAAGTTGATTTTCCTTCTGGCACAAGCTCAGCATCTCCTCACTGACCGCCCTTTGAGTAGCAACGCCAGAAACGACCTGGAGCGTGAACCAGGCCAAGCGTGGTAAGAACCAGGCCTTCAGGGCCCTGGTAGGGTTCTCCGCCGTGTGCTCAGACCCAAGGATGCCAGGGAGACCAGTTACCTGTACGATAACGTAGCATGTGACTTGTGACTCAGCACATGCTTCCAGAGTCTGTGTACGATTTGCCTTTTTATATGAATAAGAGCAGATTTGAGGCTGTTTCTGTAACACGGAAATTCTCGCTCCCATCTAGATGTTCTTTCCCGAGAGGAAGAGAAAGGAATTTAGGCTAGAAGTGGAGACTGCACTCAAATTACAGCATGTGTACGTGCGTGTACACGCATCAACCAAAGGGCAGTGGGAATCGGCCACGTTCTGTGGAAGTAGTTGGAGAATGGGCTGTCCTGCTGTAAAGGTTTATTTAAAGGTCTCACCCAAAAGGATTCCACATACAGACACAGAAAAAGTTCAGAAGCCTCCAGGTTGGTGCCACTTCTTGATATCACCACCCCTGTGCTCCTCAGGAAGAGTTAAGAGCCCTAATCCCTTAATAGCACTCAGGCTCTGCAAGTGGCCAGACTGTGCCAGGGACAGATGTCAGTATAATTCCTCTTGGCATCATCTCTCAGCTAAATATCAGGACCCCAAATCTCTCATTAGTTCATTCATTCCTTCATTCAGTTGTTTGTACTAAAGTATCCTTAGGCCTCCGCTGGTGGCCAAAGGTAGTTATCTAATTTATTTTTGAATAGAGAATATATTTACATAATTCGGAATCAAAAAGTATTCAGTGAGGGTCTTCTTCCCCTCCCCCCACTCATCCCCCAGCTGCTCTGAGAGGTAAGGGGGGCTCGCAATCTCTCATGTATCCTCTAATGTTTTCCTTTTATTTTCTTTTTATTTTTTAAACAAACAATACTTTGCAGGATTAAAAACCACCATTATAAACTTATGATGCAACCAAAGTTGAGTGTTCCAAACACTCAAAAGCTTGAGTGTTCAAAGTTGAGTAGTTCACCCTGCTGGATTGGAAGGGGCAGGGCAGGGCGAGGCAGGTGATGGGCCAGAGGCTGTTGATTTGGGCCAGCTGAGAGATGGTGAGGCTGGGAAGGGCGGGCATGGAGGCAGGATCTGGGGAAAAGGTGAGGAGTAGGAGGAGGCGAGAGAATCAAGGGTAAGGCTAGACTTCCAGCTCAGGGATGGGGACATGGTGGGGCCACTCCAGAGGTGCGCATAGGAGCGGAGAGCCCCAGGTGTGAACAGGACAAGAAAGAGGGGCTGTGGGTCGTCCCAGGGGCAGCGTCCCTCAGGCAGGACAGACTCCGGGCTGGAGTCTGCACAGCGCCTCTCACGATTCCCAGGGGCTGGGCAGCCCCTTCACACTGGCTATAGAGTGGTAGGGACCTCTGGGGCTCTGCAGGCCTCGGCGATAGGTTTGTCAGATAACGTATAGCACGACCAGATAAAGTCGAATTTCAGATAAACAACCAGTCACTTTTCGTAGACATATACCCCAGCCAGGGGGCTGTCCTATGCGCTATAGGATGTTTAGCAGCATCCCTGGCCTCTACCCATTAGATGCCAGTAACACACGCGCACACACACACACACAGTCGTGACAGTCCAAAATATCTGCAGACATTGCCAGTGTCCCTGCTTTGCTCTCCCCTCTGTGCTGATAACATTCGCACTGCCTGATCGATGGCGCCACCATCAGGTTCTGCCGGCCCTGCTTCCACCCGCACCACGTACCAGCTGAGCGGCGGCCTTGGGCAAGTAACTTAACCTCCCAGCCCAGCTTCTCCTCATCTACAGAGTGAGGGTAATAGGTAACAATTGCTTCAACCACATAAAGAGGCGTGACTATTAAATGAGATCATTCACGTAAGGTACACAATAAGCACTCAATAAGTGTCAGCTGGTATAATCAGGATTTTTATTATTTTGATGTCACTCATGTGTGTCTGTTTCCCCACTTGACGCTAAGCCCCTGGGGAACTGGAAGCGTTTCATTCACTGTTACGTCCCCAGCGCCCAGCAGAGGGCTTGGCAGGGAGCAGAAGGTCAGTGATGTCGAGTGCACTGCTCTGCCATCACCTGCTCAGCCTCGACCGACCGACCGACACTCTCTCAGTCCCCAAAGCTCCCCATCCAACCGGCTTCCCTCCCAGCCTCTGCTCCCAGCTGGGCAGCCTCTGGTGCCTCCTAGCAGCCCCACCCTTTTCTCTCCAAGCCCCTCCCTCAAGGGCACACTCAGACTCAGTGCAGCCATCCATAAGCAGCTGCCTAGCATTGCTGCAGGGTTTTCTGCCTCTGAGGGGCCATGTGCAAGCCCACCAGGGTCCTGTCCACTAGGAGCCAGGCTTTACAGACACATGTGAGTTGAATTCGCCATGAGACCCCCTTCCCAGAGTCTTCGGGCTTATCCTTGAGGAAGTCACACCAAAGCTTGGAAGTGCATTTTGCAAACCTACACATGTGATAAAATGGCATAGAAATACAGGCATACACACACACTATACTAATGTCAATTTCCTGGTTTTGCTATTGAATGACACTTATCTAAATGTCACTATTGGGGGAAACCCGGTGAAGGGTATGCCAGACCTCTCTGTCCTATTTTTGCAACATCCTGTGAATTTATAATTATTTCAAAAATAAAACGTTGTGTTTTTTTTACAAAAGTCTATTTTGTACTGCAGGTCTCAGTTTGCCCTCTAAATGATTTTAGCTTTGAATTTTTATAAAAGTTTGAGCCAAACTGATGACCTATGACAGGGAGAAAGATCTCAAATGCTCCTTAAGTAAATTTTTTAAATTAAAAAAAAAGTCATAGTTGAGCATCCACAGACTAACACCCCTCGGGGTTCAGGTGGGAACAGGCAAAGAGAAGGTCAGAAACAGCCCCGAGAATCATGGTGACACGGAACTACTGGGAAAGAGAACGTTCGAGAATCCTGCCCAGGCTGGGCATTCTTGGCTCTGTTTCCACCACCACACAGGACTCAAACGAAGGTGGTTGCATTCTCCTGGATGACACTGGGGAGAGGGTGGGGGAGTGGGCAGAGCTGGCCTGTGCTCCCAGTGGACCAGCTGGGACTCCGCCCCCATAGCACAAAGCGGACGTTAGAAGGAGGGTTTGAAGTTGAGACACAATAGAGTTTAGTAACTGGCACAGCCTGTTTCCTCCCACTCAGGGGAGCATCCTAATTGTGAGTGACATGCAAGGGAGTCCCTAAGCCCTTTGATTTCAGGAGCTAGTCCTTCCCAAGCTTCAGTGCTTAAACCATGGTGGCTCTGCCCACCACCTGCTCCCCTCTCCACCTTCCTGTGACCCTTCACTGGCAGTACCCGGAGGGTATAACCGACAGTCCCCGCGACATCACCCAGGACAGGGAGGATCTTGGGTTCTCAGTGGGCTGGGGAGAGGGTCAGAAGTATGCTATAGGAGGAATGGGACATTCTGTAGGCCAGAAGTGAGTCTTGAGAGGGAAGTTCATGCTGGTGTATGTAGGTATGTACGGCCTGAGATACTTTAGCCAAGAAATAACAATACCAGGAGTGTCACTGCCCCCTCCATCCTCCCCACTCCTCCTCCCAGATCCACTGGGTCAGAGAGAGTGAGGCCCTTGCCCACCCCCAGCTGGAGCCAGCAGACCCTGAGACAAACCCGGCAAAAGCTGGGTGCCCAGGGAAAGCCAGTGATACTCAGCTGACACCTGAGGTTGTGGACTAGGGGACTAAATTACTCTATAGTGAGGGTCTCCTGAGCGTCAAGCCTTGGGAAGGGCACAGGCACCCAGCAAGAGGAGATGACAAGAGGATGTGGCAGAAGTGGACAGTTAGAGATCCAGGAGGGTCCTGGGCAGCAAGAGCTTGTCCTTTGTGCAATCCAGAGAATAGGTGGTGGGCCAGGGCCACCTCACAACACACACAAACACACACACACACACACACAGAGTTTCGTCTGCTTTGCATAACTGCATCAACCTTTCAGTTAAAAACAACACAAACAAACAAACAACAACGAAAACTGCTAACCCTTTCCTTGCAGCTGAACGCACGTTCCCTCCAGAGAAAATAAGCAGAGCTAACACTTGGTGAGCACCCGGGAGTCAGGCTCAGGCCCTAAATCGGGATCTTCCTATCTCATTTAATCCTCACGCTGGATGAAATGAGAGTCACGCTGGCACAGAACAATGAAATTGCCCACTTGGCACCAGCAGCCACCCCCACGCCCTCCAGGCTCACCTCCACAAAGAAAAATGCCCAGATCTTGCTCCAGCGTTTGGATTCGGTGAGGGCGCCGTGAGTGGCCAGGTGGCTGCCCTTGACAGTGAGCGTGTAGTGGCACACACCCAGGATGGTGATGCCCAGGACAAAGACCAGGACATTCTCAGAGCGCAGGCACAGGAACCCTGCATGGGGATTGGGGGGAGGGGGCAAGGTTTTCCTCCAGCTCTTGGAGATCTCAGCCCAAACACCCCAGCCCCACACCCGGGAGGCCAGGCCAAAGTGGGCCCAGGCCTGGGGGCTTCCACAGACAGCAGTGAGGCAGGTCCCACTGTGGCCTGGGAGTGATGGGTTGGTTCTCTCCACAGGATTTGGGACAAAACAGAGCCCCATTGACTCCCCAAGGATTTGGGGGGGGCTGATTCTGGGCCCCAGCCAGAGCAGTGATGGGGCTAGGGCATGGTGGGGGTCCAGATTAGGAGAGGTCCAGGGGAAACACCCACACTCCTTCCTCACTCACCTCACCTCATCCCTGGTGACCCCACGAAACATCCTCCCCCTCCCCCAGGCCACCTGCTTCTCTCCCCCCCTGCCTCTCAGTGACTCCTCTCAACTTTCCCCTCCACCTCCCTTCATGCCATCAGACATTTTCCTTCCTTCAGCACCCAGGTCCTCTGGGGACATGGGACAGGACACCCCAACCAGACTTTCGGGTTTGGGGTGTGGCTCTCCATCCCGGGATCTCCAGCATGCAGTGTCTCCCCCACGCCCCAACCCTCTCCATCAT